AACAACTTGCCCTGTGCCTTGTTCTTCCTATCTATATGTGCATTGTGCTTATAGTGATTATAGACTTAACATTGCTCATGAAATGAGAAACGTAAACTAGAGTGCACGACCGATATACGGGTGCGAATGTTTGTGTATACGAAACGCAAAGAGTGCTCAATATCATAAAGATAGAGCATATATGTAGGACTGCACTGGCGATAAAACATATAATACTTTTGTTTGTGGAAACTCATAAATTTATATTAGCCTACTGCGGTAATAAATTTACGCGGTGTTTCCACAAACAAAAAGTATTGCATGCAGTTATATTAACAGTGCACTATATATATATACACATGCATGCAGTTTACTCTGTCCGGCTTTGCCGGACAAACGTTTGCTAATTACTCATCTAATTTTCATTTTAGCGCCGTCGTATCCGACTTTTCCGCTTTGCTCGGGGACAACCTCAATTGACAGCCTATAGTATGTATAATTGCCTTAACTTAGACTGCGTCACCGAAGTCTCCTATATAATACACCATGCAATCACTAGCTCTGCCTACCTTGTTCTCACAGGTTTTCGGCGCTGCTTTCATGAACACTGACTTTTTCAAATGATAACAACCACTCACTGTTGCTACATTTATATCTTTTTATCCGAAGCGATATATCCCTGCCTCGCAAATGGAACCGCGGAAATATCAGCATAATTGACCTATTTCAAATGGACAAATAAAAGTTCTTTATGCAACAAAAGTATTAATAAGCGTAATTATATAAGTCAGCATCAGTTCCTCAAAATGTTGCAGCAAAACTTCCTAAAAATGGTTTGTTCTTTATGACGCGTAGGAAAGTGCAGAAAAACCTCCTAAAACTAATTCGCCCCTAATTCTGAAACAAGACATGTACACATCCTTAGAATGTTGCAGCAAAACGTTCTTAAAAAATAAATGGTTTGCTCTGTTCGTAAGCATAATTAATTATGTAATTTAGCATACAAAGAGATAATTTTATACAAGACGAATCTTACAAACGAAGGCATGCACAGTGCATGGCCTTTTACTTATATATAAGACGTTTTCCCTGTCTATATTAACGATCGCGGTTCTGCAAAATTGCTCTTCAAAATGCTATGTAGACGTTGGCACTAAACTCCATGCTTCGTTTCCTCTGGAAGACGATTAATATATACTGCGACAAAGATGAACTGTGATTTGGTAAAGAAAGGCCAGACCAGAAACGATGCGTATTATATTACTCAAGGGAAAATTCGCATTCAGTTAAAGAATTAAGTAGCCTATATAGTACCAAAACCGACCAAAATTATATTTGGCATAACGCTACTGTTTATAGTAAACTAGCTTTTAGGAAGTTTTACTGCAACATCCTTAGGATATATTGTTGCAGAATTGGGGGTGTAATTATTTTTGTTATTCTAATTATCCGATTGTAATAATCCAAAGCAATTTCTTCCTCGCGAATGGAATCGGAAATACCAGCATAATTGACCAAGTTGGCCTAAGCACACAAATAAAAATTCTTAATGCCACAACAATGTAAGTGATGTATTAATTAATAAGCGTAACTATAAGTCAGTATAATAAGTTCCTCAAAATAGTTTGCCCATATAATGTTGCAGCAAAACTTCCTAACAATGGTTTGTTATGTGACGTGTATAGGAAATTGTAGGAAAACCTCCTAAAACTAATTGGCCCACAATTCTGAAGCAAGACATCTAAGAATATTGCAGTAAAACTTCCTTAAAAAATGATTTGCTCTTTTCGTAAGCATAATGATATAATTTAGCATACAAGGAGATGTTTACAAGAGGAATCTACAAACGAAGAAACATGGCCCCTTATCAGCATGAACTCCACCTTTGAATTTACTATATGAGTAAATTGTTAAACACATCCGAATTTATCAATATGATAAATTCGCGGCACCTAACCCCTAACACTATAACCCCTAACCCCAGCCCTAACGCTAATCTAACTTTTTTCATAAACTCCATGCTAATTCGTTTCGTCAGGAAGACGAACAGCATACTGCGACAAAGATGAACTGTGATTTGGTTAGAGTGCAAAATTGGTGTTTTAACAACGAATTGTTATTAAACCCAGGAAAGACAAAGTTAAAGGTATTCGGTAGTCGTCAAATGAGATCCAGAATACCAGATATGATTCCCGTCTGTCTTTATTAGGAATTAAGAACTTTGGTCCATTCACTAGCAATTAACGACCTAACAACCTCGTTCCCAGGGCTTTCGTATGAGGACGAGAGGAGAGACGAGAAAGCCCTGGTCTGGACCGGTCACGTGACTACCCAAAAAGTGGCAGTATTTGACAGCTACTCGTCAAGGAGTGGCGAGATATTCTTTAATGAAATATACAAGTCTTCGAAACAAATAAACATCCAAAAGACTTCTCAATCGATATTATTTATGTGTATAGCGAAGTTTGGCACGAACTGATCAGCTGAAATATCTGAAGACCCCGTCTATGTTTTCTAAGATATATCGATATATACCGAATTTACGTTTCTTGTTTTTCAAGTTCCAAATGTGTTTGGACAGCTCAGTGGATTTAACATAGCTCGTATCTTCGAATGAGGTCTTGTGGTTGTAATAACGTTTCTTAAACGGGTTTGACGTCATCCCAATATAATCCCGAATTACTCCTGCATGCGTGTGTCGTCCTTAACCTCGGCTTTATAGACAACGCTCTTTATAAGGTAATTATTGTTTAAGGGACATTCGGTGCTTTCTCTGCAGTTGCAGTTGTCTTTGGTAGATGCTACTACAACACTTTTACTCTTTAAAAGGGTACCGAAGTTATGCTTGGAGATGACGATTTTACAGTTATCCATGCAACTATAGCTTACTTTGATCGAGTTTCTGTTAACTGAAGATCTTGTGTAGCGGGTTAGACGCTAGCGGGTTTGTCGACGTGTAGCGGGTTTGTCGATCAGGTTTAGAAAGTTTCCACCAACATTTGTTCTTACGTTCTTGCTAAAAGGTGGGTTAAAAACCAAATTATATTTCTCGTTCCCGTTCTATTCTTGTGGTTACTATATTTGGGGAGTAGCGTAAATTCGTTGGGTAATGACCTGGGTAATGACTACGGTGGAGCGCTGCTTCATAAAGAGGTGCAGACTTCGAGAAAGCTTCTTAATTGGTTTGATGATAACTGAGAAATTCGGTTGCCAACAGAAGATGGGAGATGCTTTGTAATTGAAGGAGGATGGTGCGTTGGGTATGGAAATTATGAAATACAATAACGTACACAACATAACATAACACTCGCAGAGCTAGTATGGTTCGATGCTGAATTAATATAAACGAGTATGTTTAATCACAGTTATTTTAATAGATGGTTTGGAGACTCGATGAAAGTACAATATAACTCATTAACTATGTTATTGTCCAGCTTTATGCAAGAATTTGGTCCTATCTCGTCACGTGTGTATTGTATTTTCGCTCAATAACAAGT